CAGTGACAGTTTTGTTGAATCATCCCATACTTGGACATGTCATATACAGCTTTCAAAAGCTATCAAATTGTTTTTTGTTAATTAATGTGTTAATTTTGAGGTGTCTTCTTACTTTTAAAAATGTCTCCGACTGATGTTGCCCTTTGTACTTAACTTTCTTGACGTTTAAAACACTTGCCACGTAATACTGTGACCGTCCATCCTGGATTAAATTAATGGCTCTGGCAACATCAGTCGGAGACATATCCATTTTTGAAAGTAAGAAGACACCTCAAAATTTAAACATTAATTTGCAAAAAACAATTTGATAGCTTTTGAAAAAAGTTATTTGCGATTGAAATTCATCGAAAATTTGTGTGAGTCGATTATTTTGCACGCAAGTGTAGATGAAAATATCAAAACAAGTCAACAGGCGTTTCATTTTCAGGGTAAACACGAAAAATTAGTAAAATACACGTTTTTTCAGCACCGAGTAATTATTTAGAAATATTGATTGAGTAAATTTATATTTTTTTATAAAAATGACGTTTTAAAAAAATTTTAATTCGATTAGGCAGGATTTGATACATGCGAAAAAATAAATAAGGGTGAATTTTGTCCTTTGGGACCCTAATAAATATTTCTATAAAATTTGAGCAAAATCCAAGATGTTCGAGCAATGAGTTTCGGCGTTTTCATATGGATTTTTTATTTTATATTTCTTTATTAGCATACTATTTAAAACAAATATTTAGTTAAGCGTTCAATGAAGCTTCTGTCTTAAGCGTTATCCAAATATTTCGAAGTATTTAAATATGGGCCATTTAACGGATACACAGAAAATTGAGTTTTAATTTTCATAGGATGTGGCAATAAAACTAGAATACAACAAGAAGTTTGCAATTTATTTAATGCAAAGTATTCAGCTCGATCTATTACTTGTGCTACAGTTAGTAAAATTGAACGAAAATTCAGAGAGACTGGACATGTCAAAGACATTCCAAAACCTGGCCGTCCTAGAATTAGTAAAGACACTAAAATTACCATTTTGTTACGTGTGGAAGAAGATCCTTACAATGCTTTTAGACTAGTCGCAGCTAAAAGTGAAGTTAGCCAACGCTCAGTATTACGTCTTATGAAGAAAGAAAAATACCATCCATACAAAATTAGACTTGTGCAGAAACTTAACGAAGATGATCCGGACCGTAGACTACAATTTTGTGAAACTATGATAAATTTATGAAACAATAATCCACACTTTTCTCGTAAAATACGTTTTTCGGACGAAGCTACCTTTTGTTAGAATGGTACAGTCAACCGTCAAAATTGTAGGTACTGGGGCAGATAATATCCTTATTGGATAGTAGAGGCAAATTCCCAATACCTGGCAAGAAGAGAATGTCTGGGCAGGAATGGTATTTGGGGTTCTTTCTTCTTTGACGAGAATATGACTGGACAAACGTATTTGGAATTTTTTCAAAACTCTCTTCTTCCCACATTAGCAGAAATGTTTCCCAATGATCCCATTTGGTTTCAACAGGACGGGGCACCTCCGCACTATGCCTGTCCGTACTATTTTGGACACATGTTTTCCTGAGAGGTGGATTGGCAGTATAAAATATATCAGTATTAAACATTATTTATAGAGTATGATGTTATTAAGAATTATTGTCATTAAAGTTTAAAAATTTCAATTTTAAAATGGTTTTTTTAGCTCGATAAATACATTCTTTATATATAAAGCAATCAAAACGACGGATTTTAGAAATTTCGACCAATAAGATTCTTTAAAAGTGATAAAATCTTAGGTGGATAAAATCGACTATTTCCCTCGTCTTAATTTCCACCAATCACAAACGAGCAATTTTGAATTAAAAATGGTTTCTAGGTGAAAAACTGTGTGACAGCACCTGTCAGAAGTTTTTTCGAGTTTACCCGCGGCAAAACTTGACAGCTGTTGTCACTAAAAATTTCAATTTATATTTTAATTGTTAACTGTTACTCATGAAACAGTCTTGTCAAATACCATTCGGGCATCTAATTTTTCCTGTGAAAAAAATCGAAAAAACACAATGCTAAGTAATATTTTTTAACAAAATGCATTCGTGCAGGTGCAAAAATCCTCCTCTTCGACTCGGATTTTTGTTGCCACCAGCACTCATGCTTCTTGTTAAAATATTACTTAGCAACGTGTTTTTTCGATTTTTTTCGGAAAAATTAGATGCTCTTATGATATTACTTACGATAATTTGTTTCTTAAAAAACGTCGTAGTTGAATGGCATTTAAGTCACTTTGATAACGGATAAAAAGGAAAGTAACTTTTGCAAGTGGATAATTATTTATTTACCTCGTGTCATTTCATTTCCTTGACAACCTTGCAAATAATTATTTTTTAATAGCAGGTGTCAAAAAATCTTTTAAAATGAATCGTTTTGGTGTCGTTTCCGGCGAAAAACAATAAAGATCAAAGTGTAAAAAGTATCCCAAATAATTCTATTAATAAAGCGTCAATTTGGCGACGATATATGGCATTTTGTAATGCGAGGAATTACAAACTACTCGACTCAATATCACAGCAAGATTTAGCAAATATTTTGCTTGATTGGGCATGCAAAATGAAAAAAATTAATCACAAAATTATCTCGTCGAATTACACTCGAGCTTTTTTTCTGGCAAGATAAATTTATGTTTTCTAACTTTCAAACTTGTTACCTTTTAGCAATTTCACTCGAAAAAATGTCATCTGACAAAATCGCTCGACCTATGGTCTCGCAATTTTGATTGATGACATTTTTTCTTGTCAAATTGCTAGGTAACAAGCTTTTAAGGAAAACAAAAATTTTCCGGCTAAAAATAAGCTCTTGTGTAATTATAGTCGACTATTTCCCTCGTCTTAATTTCCACCAATCACAAACGCGCAATTTTGAATTACAAATGGTTTCTAGGTGAAAAAACTGTGTGACAGCACCTGTCAGCAGTTTTTTCGAGTTTACACACGGCAAAACTTGACAGCTGTTGTCACCAAAAATTGCAATTTATATTTTAATTGTTAACTGTTACTCATGAAATAGTCTTGTCAAATACCATTCGGGCATCTAATTTTTCCTGTGAAAAAAATCGAAAAAACACAATGCTAAGTAATATTTTTTAACAAAATGCATTCGTGCAGGTGCAAAAATCCTCCTCTTCGACTCGGATTTTTGTTGCCAACAGCACTCATGCTTTTTGTTAAAATATTACTTAGCAACGTCTTTTTTCGATTCTTTTCGGAATAATTAAATGCCCTTATGATATTACTTACGATTAAATTGATGTCAAAAATTAATCTTAAAAATACCAAATAAATTGTTTATAACGAAATATTTTTATAAATAACTAATAACGTTATTTTTTCTTACATGCATTCGACTTTTGGTAAATTTAACTTCTTCCAAAACCTCTGAATATCTTCTTCATACACCTCATTAGTAGTCAAAGAACTACAAAAAGACGGTACTCTATCAAACTTTGCAACACTTAATTTATTACCATCTTCGTAATTATTATCTTTTTTCACGACATTGTTAACCCATTCATCCACATCTTCTTTAATCTTTTTAAACTCCTTTCCCACCAGTACGTTCATAGTCACCCAGAAATCACCCATGTTTAAACCAATTAATATAATTCACACCGAAACAATTCGCAATTAACTGCACTTCTAAATCTACTTACCGCTGCAGCGCGTTTAATTGGCCGTCTGGATTTAATGAAACGTCAAAAATTGACAGGTGTCGGTTTCGCGTCAGCGTCGAGCACGATCGTCAACTTTTTCGTTGATGTGCATTTTAAGTTGTTTGTACTTTTCACTTTTCTTTTTATAAATGGATCATCATGACTGGGCAAAAAGCAGTGGGGTACAATTGGTAAGGGGTTTGTGGAAAAAAATAATTGATTTTCTTTTTTTGTATATAAATTGGATTATTGGCACGAACATTGATGGTTTGTGTTTATTAATTACTATTTTAATAATTTATTATTTTTTATTTATTTTTTTTGTATTTAATTATTAATTTTATGATTTTTTGTGTTTTTTTGATATTTCTGGTATTATTTTCAGTTTATTGTTTTTTTATTATCCTACACATTTCATTGTTAGCATATAATTTAAAACAAATACTCTCTACTAGATGTAAAAACTTTTAGTTGAGCGTTCAGTGAAGTATCTGTCTCTTAAGCTTTCTTCAAATATTTCGAAGTATTTAAATATGGGGGATTTAACGGAAACACAGAGAAATGAAGTTTTAATTATCATAGGATGAAGCAATAAAACTAGAACACAACAAGAAGTTTGCATTTTATTTAATGCAAAGTATCCAGCTCGACATATTACTCGTGCTACGGTTAGTAAAATTAAACGGAAATTTAGAGACTGGACATGTCAAAGATATTTCAAAACCTGGCTGTCCGAGTATTAGTGACACTAAAATCTACATTTTGTTATATAGGATTACGTCTTATAAAGAAATAAAAGTACCATCCATACAAAATTAGACTAGTGCAGGAACTTAGTAGACTGCAATTTTGTAAAATTATGATGAATTTATGTAACAATAATGCACACTTTCCTCGTAAAATACTTTTTTCGGACTAAGCTACCTTCTGTTTGAATGGTACAGTCAATTGTCAAAATTGTAGGAGAAAATCCTCATTGAGTAGTAGAGGCAAAAAGGGAATGTCTATAACTATTTTGCATTAAATTTGTTTTTTTCTGACATTATTTTAATATTTTTTTGTTCAATTTCAATGATTGTTTTACAAAATTTAAATTAATTTAAAAAAACCTATAAGTGTAAAATTAACCCACGCCTATGGACTAATATGGCAACGTACGACGAAGCGTTATTATTTGTTTGTTACCAATAATAACTTAGCAACAGGGTTAACCATCCTTAAATTGCACCCAAAGAAAAGAAAAACACCTTGGAACGCCCCAATTCTTATTTTAAATTGATGTATCCAAGTAAAACAAAAACCTATTAAGTAACTCTTATTTATTGCTTGAGTATAAAAAGTTGACAACAGAATTGTTTTTAGTTTTAATAATTAATCTATTGCAGATAATTGTACAAATTGTTCATGCTGCATACTGCCATGCACATCAAATTCTGCAGTTTCTAAAAAATATAAAAAAATTAAAATATTTTAAAAAAAATATTTTGTTGGTTATACTTTTAAGTCTATCAATTTGAACACAAATAACCCAATCTTTTAGGTCATCTAGGTTTGCTGGACCCCATTCTTTAACACAGTGTGATGCTACTCGAACTCTCTGAAAATATTGAAAAAATAAATTAATTAGTCTTGGGTTATTTAAAGGCACAAAAAGAAAAAAACAATAGTACCAAAAAGGCATTATGTTTATTGTATTTATATTTGTTATATTGACTTCAAAACTTACTTCACATAGGTCACCATTTTCCACATACAATAATCTATAAATAATATACATTGGTATACAAATTACCGACACTCCACAAGAACACCATCCAACGTTTACTGCCCAATCTGGGTAAAATTCCCCACGGTATGAAATTTTGGAGTTGTATGCAATGGTTGTGTAGAGAAGAAGCTAAAATTATCACCAATTAATAATTAAAACAAAAAAATTAAAAACCAGACTTGAAGACTCTTTGGTTTAAATAAAATTGTTTATTTTAAACGTTTAGGAAATTTGGACAAACATTACCGTTAATATAACAGGATTGGTAAATTTCCAGGAAATAATCCAATATTTTCCTAATTTTTCATTGATCATAAATTCTATATCCTTTACAAAATTATTTATTCCATATATCCAACCAATAATGATGACTTCCACGAGACATATTAATATTACCCCTATAGAAGCTGAGTACCAATCAAACAGTTGAAGCCAGTACATACCACCCTAAAAATTATTTGTGACCCTACTATACAACAATAGTATACGAAAGATAATGCATGCTATTATTCACGAGGATAAGGTTTGCGTTTCGAGTCGTCAGATGAGAGACTCAAATCATTCTAGTGAATAATGCGCATAATCTCGAATCACTGATGCCTAACAATGTGAATAATAAGTTCAATATTCACGTTTTTAGGTAGGAAATTTATACAATAGTATACAAAAGGAGTAGATAATAGTTATTTACGATATAAGTGGGATAAGAGCTTTATTAACGTACGCATGCGAAATTTGCCCAACGAGTGCGTAGCACGAGTTGGGCAATCGCAAAAGTACGTTAATAAAGCGTTATCACACGTATATTGTACAAATTTTTATCTACGCCTCTAAATGAAAAAATAAACGGTAATTATTTTTGTCTAAGACTTAATTTAGGGTTATTTTCTCATTTTGACATTTTGACTTTTTTATTTGATTGGTTAAAAGCAGAGAAAAACGCGTGCGTTAATGAACTTCTTATCTCACTCAAAATGAGTGGGATAAGAAGTTCTTATCTCACTGGCGTAGATAAAATATTTAAATCTTACATTTGTCACATATAATGTAGAACAAGTGGTCATTGCGAAAACCACTCCAAAAGTCATCTTCATTTTATGCCTGCTCAATACTGGATATTCATCAATAATACTCGCAACTATAGCTTCCAACTGAACGAACTAAAACATAAATATAAAACATCCCCATACAAAAATTAAACATTTAAAAACCTGGCTATCGAGTCCCAGAAAAAACAGCATCAAAAAGAATAATACGGCCCAAAGTTGGGGCACAGGCATAAGGGATATAGCTTGTGGATAAGTCACAAACGCCAATCCAGGACCGGCTGTGGCCACTGTGGAAACGGGCAAACCAGTTTCATGGGACATAAAACCAATCACAGAAAAAACCACAAATCCTGCAAAAACGCTCGTGCAACAGTTTATGATTGGAACCAAAATTGAATCTCTGAAAATGGTGTTTGAAACATTCCATATAAAATTAGTCACTGTGGAGTAAATTTTACCTTCGATTATTGTTTTTGAACTCATTAAAACTGCCCAAACTGATCAAACCGCCCCAACCAGGCCCAAGAGAGAAAAATATCTGTATTGCAGCATCAGCCCAAATCTAAAATATTTTTTAATATTTGCCCATTATTTTTAAATCGTTTATTATTACATAAATCCCTTTAGTTACCTTAAGGTTTGTCAATTGACCCCATTGGGGGTATATATAAAACTTAATTCCCTCCCAAGCTCCAGGTAATGTTACACCTCTGATAAAGAGTATAAAAAGTATTAGAAACGGAAAAGTTGCTGTAAAATAGACAGTTTTTCCAACAGTTTTGATTCCCTTCATTATGCAAAGATATGTGGCTAACCATGAAAATAAATTGCATAAAAATAAGTTCCACACTATGGAGCCTGTCTCGTTTATGCTTGGTGATAGATGAAGAATTTCTTTGCTAAAAAATATTTAGTTTACAAATAGGGATTCCATAAAAACTGTGAATGTTTACTGAAAAAATTCATCAGCTGGTGTCACAATTCCAGTTGAGTTTTTAAGTATGGTGGAGTTAATTTTATGAAATCCTACCTAAAAGACAAAATATAAATTATACTTATAAAAACGGTTAGCATTGAAAATATCTTATAAGTAAAGAATCTTAGAGCATACAATACATGGATATAAACTTAAAAAACATAATATATAAATTTTTCATAAAACATTCTAGTAACAAATTTGACGGTTTCTAGACACAAGATATTTTCAATGTCAAAATTACCTCTACACAATTTTCCGTGTTCCAACTATTCTTGCAGTTAGACCAAGGTAATTCATATTGAAAGCAGTAAAAAAGAAAATTAATGGGGTACGTGTAAATTGTAGTAAAATAGCTAGAAACTATAACGTTTACAATAATCATAGCATAGCCAGCGCCTAAAATTTAAAGTTAATTAAAAACAATTTAAAAATATGATTAATATCAATATGCACCTTTAAATATTGGTGATATTTTGAATAAGGTCAAGATCCCTGAGCTTGAAAATTGCCCCAAGGATGTTTCCATAAAAAATAAAGGTATTCCACAGGTGAAAAGCATGAGGAAATATGGTATTAAAAATGCACCTATAAAAAATTACCATTTTAATGATTTTGTTACATGTATAAGGTAATGTAATTGTAATGTAATTGTAATGTAATTGTAATGTAATTGTAATGTAATTGTAATGTAATTGTAATGTAATTGTAATGTAATTGTAATGTAATTGTAATGTAATTGTAATGTAATTGTAATGTAATTGTAATGTAATTGTAATGTAATTGTAATGTAATTGTAATGTAATTGTAATGTAATTGTAATGTAATTGTAATGTAATTGTAAAGTAATTGTAATGTAATTTATACCGTCTAATAATGTTTAAAATGCCCTAAACATGTTATAACTTTCTTGAACCCCTAATAAACAGGTTAGAATTATCTAACTCTTCTAAATCTAAAAATGCCTCGTCTTTAAATTTTTAGAATGTTTAAAATGTCATAAGCCTAATTTTTTTCTAAATTTTCCCATCCGTGTTTATACTGTCAAAACTTCTACAAATTTTGTCTTTATGTGTTGAAATTTGTCCTCAAAAAAAAATTATTCTAAAATGTCTTAAGAGTCAACCTATATAACAAGGTCCTAAATTTGTTCAGTATGCAGGATCGCAAGGCCAAAAAGGTTGAACATATAATTTACACAGGTTCTATAAAAATATTAATTAAGAACAATTTTATTATTCTAGTCCACTTGATGCGTAAACATATTAATTAAAGACATTTTTAAGGTTCTATTTTAAATGGGTTCCACAAAAAAAACTCCTACTCCTTAAAAATAATTATAATTAATTACCTCCTCCACTTCTGTAGCACAAATATGGGAACCTCCAAACATTTCCAATTCCAATAGCATACCCCAAACATGATAGCAAAAACTCTGTTTTATTAGCCCATTTATCCCTTATCGGCAAACTCGATAAATCTGACTTCATTTTAGGTAATTTAAAAAATTATGATAATACCTACTAATATTTTAATTTAGAACAAGTTATTTCGTTAACCTGCATAATAAACATCACAACACTGATATGAGGGGAATCTCAATACGAAATTTAAAACCGGCTACTTATTCAATTGAAGTGGTTATATAATTTAATTCTTAGATGTTGCTACTCCGGATGATTAGCATATAACCAAGGACTTAAATAAAGCGTAAACTATTCAACAACAATATAATATACATAGTTTACAAACAAAATTCTAGAGCATACATTTTATTAACAAATAAAACAAAACCTTGTCATTATAGTTAAAAATGTGATAACGCTTCATTATCATTAACTTTAAATGTTTTTATGCCAATTAGTTTATAGAAATAAATATACCTAGTGTAGCTACATTTATTATTTTAATAAATAGAAGTTTTAATATATAAACTACCTATTACAATAGATCTAAATGTCTTTTTAGACCAAATCCACATTGAATGGTAAAAATTTTTGGTAATGACTGTTTTGTTGTTAATGCAATAAGGTTAAGTTGACTTTTAGTCGGTGAAGGTGCTTCTTCTTTTTGTGATCCTTTTTTGCTTTTCTTTTTCTTTTTTGGCCTTTTCTTTTTAGCCGCTTTGCCATACAAAATTGCCTTAAAAGTTAGAGTTATTATTTTGTACTTTTAAAATGTAGTACCCAGAGAGCCATACCAGGTTAAGACATGGCCAAGAATTGCCCTCTTACCTTTGGAAACGTTTTGACAATAAATGTACAATATAGGACAATATTCCTATGATTTTTGTGCAATCGCGATGGCCAACAATAAATTGTGCCCAATAATATGCAAAAGCAGTTTGGATTGAGTAGGTTACCGTTGGTTTAATTTTAAGATTGTTTGGTCATGGAAAAACAATGATAAATTTTTGATGTTTATTTGGGCAAATACCTATAAGGCTTTTAAAAAATTGACCAATACCATGATGTTGGTAAATATTTGAACAAATCCCGAGTATTTACAAATATTATAATTTTATTTGAAAGAATATTACTAAGAAAGCATTTTCTCGTTTATATTAAAATCTATTAATTTTTTTGAGATTATTTAAAAAACTGGGTAATTTTAAAACGAAGAGCACTTAATATTTCTTTAACTGATAACTAGGGATGGGATTTTAGTTATTTTACCTTTTTTTAACCGATGTAACTATTTGAAAACCAATAATGCCAAAATGTGTTTTAAAAGATTTTCTTTTATATGAACCTAACTTGTTTTCACCTTTTTTTACCTATTTTGGAGCTTTTTGCTTTTAACTACCTTTTTTATACTTTTGTTACCTATTTTTTTTTAACTTTTTTCACCTTTTTTACCTTTTTTGGAGGTTTTTGCTTTAAACTACCTTTTTATACTTTTTTTACCTATTTTTTAATTTGTCAGTTTATTTTCACATATTTGTTACCTATTTTTAGGTATTTTTACTTATTTTATTTTTTTTGTTCTTTTTAAAATTTGCGCCAATATTTTATCCAGGGCGTGCAACTCAACGGTATAGAATTTTTTCTTATGGTTACAGACTGTAACAGTAACTTTCTATACAGTTACCTTCTTTGTAGTTACTCACTACTAGTGAGCTTATGTTCTGTCATAGAACTTCTGTGTAGTGAGTGTCACTCAGTAAAACACAGTTTATTGCATAGAAATAGTTTATTGTGGGTATGTTCTGTGTTTGGGTATGCGGCTAAACAAAATTATAAACGAAACTTAAACTTTTAATTAATTTTTTTTACCTAAAATGCTGTTTTTTTAACCTAAAATGCTTTTTTTTAGTACCTTTTTAGTTACCTATTTTTCAGTTTTTAGTACCTAAATATCCCATCCCTACTGATAACACTATAAAAATTGGAGATACACGTCAATTTAAATATCAAGGGGGACAACTGTTGAGGTATTTGTTGTTGTATTACATTTAACCCCATGTCCTCCAGAGCACCTACCCCTAAAGTTTCAAATAGCAACCCCTATTTATTTCGCCATTTTTGAAATCCTTATGTAATTCTAGGTAAGTAAAAATTCTTTTTAATTTATTTTTACCAAAATTGAAGTGGATTGCCTCACGAATGTAAAATTTTAATCCATAAATTAAAATAATGCAAGTTTTCAAACGGTTGCGTTTACTGTGCCGTCACAGCCATTCATTTTTATATTTAGTGTGAAACTACGTTTAAAATGTTTACCTTTATTTACATTTTTTTTATTAAAATTAATTTTTTTGTGCATTTTTTTTTGTTATATAAGTATGATATAATTTAGAAGTAATAAGTGCAGTTCGTATTTTCGTACGCCCGGTGTTAATTTATGTATTTGATTTTCTGAATCGATTAGTAAAAATAGGCTATAGTAGTCAGTAGTTAATGATCGACATCCAGAAAGAAATGTAGATCCGAGAATTAGCAGCTAAATTTGAAGAAACTGGATCTGATTGCAATAAGAAGAGAAATGAGCCAAGGTGGTAGGAGGGGACCCATTGAATGGCCACCTAGATTACCAGATCTGACACAGCCAGATTTCTTTCTATGGGGTCATTTGAAATCCATTGTATTCAAAATCAAATTCAACCGGACTCAATTGAACAACTCCAACAAAGGATAGTGCAAGAATGTAGGGCTATTTTATCAGAGACACTTCAAAAAGTTGTTCGCGGACTTTAAATATAGGCTGAATTTTTGCTTACAAAACAATGGAAACCATTTTGAACAATTAATTAAGTAATTATATTATCTTTATTATCAATTTTACAGAGGAACCCCATTAAAACTAGCAGTATTTAAATTTATAGACTAAATACATTCCATAATATTATGTATATACATTTATACATTCAATTTTGGCAAAAAAATGTAACTTATCTAGAATTACAAAAGGATTTAAAAAATGATGAAATAAATAGGGGTTGCTATTTAAAACTTTAGGGGGAGGTCAGGGGGTTAAATGTAATACAACAAATACCTCAACAGTAGTCCCCCTTAATATGTAAATTGACGTTTATCGCCGAATTTCATAGAGTCATCAGTTAAATAAATACAAAGTGCTCTTCGTTTTAAAATTGTCACCCTGTATATATATATATATATATATATACAGTAGGGTGCTTTCGCTCTTACCCTCTCAAATGTTTTTATTTAATATAAAAAAAATCCTCACCAAATATGGGCGTTCCAGCTCAACTCTAAGAGGTCGCTGTTTTTATTTTAGTTTCCCATTGAATTAACATGGGAAAAATTTAATTTATGTTTGGAATTTTATACCTCTGTATCAAAGTAACTTATGGCAATGATCATTGCAGTTTCTTATATAAAATTTAACGCTCTACAAAAAAGGTCTCCTATTATTTTTCGATAAATTGATTTCTTCTAGAGTTATTCGAGGTCAAAGTTTTCCCCCTTTCACCTCCCGTCTGCTAATTGTACCAGAAAATTTGATGTTAATCAAACTTTGACCTCGAATAACCCTAGAAATTTTATATAAGAAACTGCAATGATCATTGCCATAAGTTTCTTTGATACAGAGGTATAAAATTCCAAACATAAATTAATTTTTTCCCATGTTAATTCAATGGGAAACTAAAATAAAAACAGCGACCTCTTAGAGTTGAGCTGGAACGCCCATATTTGGTAAGGATTTTTTTTATATTAAATAAAAACATTTGAGAGGGTAAGAGCGAAAAAAATTTTTTTTGAAGCACCCTAATATACAGTGTGGCCCATTTGTTTGCGACTCACCCCTGTAAAATCTTTATTTATTGTGCAATTTTAACCGGATTTGTTTTAAAATGTAGAAACTACTACTACTACTAATATATGATTTTAGTAAAAAATAAAACTATGTCAGATTTTAAGAGTAAATTTTTAAGAATTTATATTAGCGATTTTTTCTAAGCACGGCACTTGATTCACCACTCCTCAAAACGACCCTATACTAAATTTTATTGAAAAATATTAAGAAAAAAAAATGCACAATAATAACTACAAAAATTTATTTTTTCAAGTTATCCATAAAAAAACATTGAAATAAAATTGAACTTATAGTAATAGTACCATACAAAAAATAAGTACATAATGTAGAACTACAATTGTATATTTTTAACAATTTTCGAAAAGTAAGAAATTGTATAATAATTGATTTATTTTTTCAAAAACTTGAAAACATAACCTAAATTACTTACTAAAAATTTTTAAGTTGTTTAAAACTTAACACGCGTTTAGTTAGTGCACGGATGATTATATTTTTTTGTAATAACTTCACTCAAGCACTATTTTACGCCTTTTTGTAGAGAAGGTCTTAAAATATTAATTTACTGAAATGTGCCTATAACTCGCTATTGCTCATAGTAATTCTTCATCCATGCTGATTAATTATTTGCCAAGTTTCGATCAACTTGCATTACAATTTTCGACCAAACTTCATTAGAAACGAAGTTGGCCAAAAATAACTCTACTAAAGTCTTTATTTTCATGCAGTTTTTGTGCTATCGCGTTGGGAAATGATTGGCATAAAATATGACAATTTTTGGTCAAACTTAATGAAAATACATTTTATATGTCCAAATAAACCCCAATGTCGAATATCGGATTCGTACACCAAACTTAGTAGGGAAAAATTTGACTAATTTCTTTTCCAAACCATCGCGATGCATCGTTCTCTGGGTATACCTATTTGTAATGATTTGTCAACTACCAAAATATTGTCTTAACCTTTGGATGACCAAGGGGGGTAAATTTTGACCCCAATGTATATTTTTCTTGAATAAACTCTTAAATATTTTTAATTTTTAACTGATTATTTTTTTATTTGTGTGGTTACTAGTGCATTTTTTTACAAATTTCATTTCTTCCTTTATTAGGTTTAGACTAATATTTTTACTTTTTTGGTTTATTTGGAAGACAATTTTTTTATACTAATGTTTGTTTTCATTATTTAATATAAAATATAACATTAAAATAATGAAAGCATGTTTTCGTTTACTAAAATCAGGAGGGGTCATTTTTAACCCCCCTTGGTCATCCATGTATAAAAAAGAGGTTGGTCATCCGAAGACATTTTACCGGTAAGCTTCCTTCCACTTTTATAGCAGTTGGACCAACTTTTGGATGATTGGCCCAATAAAAGTCTAGATAATCATCACTCCAATTTGGTTGCGACAACTCACAAAAAAAATTGGCTACTGTAATCCTTTTCAGAATCGTTTCTTTTGGTTCTTCAACCTTTTTGGGCTTCTCAATTTTATCTGATTTTTTGCTAGCCTTACTCTTTTTGCTTGACTTA